GGTTAATTCGTCGTTTCTCTCAGAAAACTGTTGTAACCGTGTCCGGTAGTAAAAACGAGTGGTACACGAAAGGAAACCTAACCGACGAAGAAGCATCTGGCTTCCACGGATCGTGGAACGACACCCTCGAAAGTCGAAGTTGTCGATCGGAGTCACCCACGAGCGATGGAAACAGCATCGAAAAAGAAACTCGTTCACCTCGAAGGGAAGGCTGTCTAATCAGTGGACATCCAACGAGACGGCGAAGAAACGTGCTTGGGGAAGGACTGCGATAATCAACGAGGAGGAAATTCGAAGCGGACGAGTATCAACCCTGGTCGGAGAGACGCGGGTAATTGGTCTCGCGCTCGTCGGACGAAAAACTGGCGACGGGGGATGCTCGGTCGTGAAAAGAAGACGAAACACGGCGAGTCCGGGCTCGGGACAGAGGAGGACAGCGGGTTGTCGTTATCACGGGCAAAAACGGCCAGTGGATGACGTTGGTCAGGAAGCTGGGTGTGCCAGGGCGTACCTAACAAGGGCAGTTTTTACCCCGGCTTGAATGCATTATGGATGGTCCGAGTTATGTATGACTCTATCATGAAGAGACTCCCTGAACGTCCACCCTTTCTTCCTCGTAGCTGGCTGTTCGATAGATCGGTTGGTCGCGCGTTGCGAACGCGACAGAACGATTCTGTTCCTCGCAACCGTGCCTCGTGTCCTCTTTCCACGACTGTTCGCCGAGCCTTTAATGGTCTAAGGCGATTTCTTTCTTGGAAACGGCGCGAGTTTCTCGTTACACGCGTCGCTCGTAATTTCGCCAGCTTCCCGAGCTGGAACCTCCTCCAGCGAAGTCTGTTTTGCCCGACTCGGTTTCCTGCTTCGAGGAATCTACGCTCTTCGCACCTTTCGTTCGCGCGTAATTGAGGTGTGAATGCTTTCTTGATGAACATGGCCGTCGGTACATACGGAGGTTATGCAAGCTTCAGAGAATTCGAAACGATGCCGTATAACATCCGATCATCGCGATAACGGGTCAGTAATCGATTACTGATCAGTCGAGGAAAGCGGTCGGAGAAGGATTTAATCCTTTCTTTTGCAAATATAATAAGCTTGCGCGTTGTTAAACGTTAATTAATCGCGTACACGACTGAAATTATCGGAAGGAAACATTTTTTGCCCTTTATAATTAGAACTGCTTGTTTCACACCCGTTCGGTGTTACTTTGCAACATTACAAAGCTTATGAATTTGTACATTGTACTGCGAATAAAGATTAATTAAAGATATCAGTATAGATTAATCAGATTAGTTTGATGCAACCAGTCAGATTAATTAAAGTAATCATTATCTTATTACAGTATTGAAGCAAAGTATAAATGCGCAGTGAAATGCAAATCACTCATTCATCGCACGGTTATAAATTGCAGAAATTAACGCGAAGATCGATTACCGTGACTGCTTTCAGCAATCAATTACAGACGTAATCATAAAACAATGAATTACGTATGCACGCATGTCACATTTCTGACTGCAGTTAAAAAAGACATATGTGCATATGTAATTTATTACTTCTGTAATTGATTATTAAGAATCGCGTTGATAGACTTGACTGGAATCCAAAATTGTATGTGACATAGGTGCATACGTAATTTATTGCTTCTGTAGTTGATTATTAAGAAGCGTGTTAATCGATCTGATCATTCCTCAATCCATAGTAACTTGATGCCTGATGATATAGCACGTGGTAATTCGAAATGTGGTAATATGACGCGTGAGAATTCGGCACGTGGTAATAAGTCGTGCAATCTATTAACTTGCAAATTAATGGTAATTCAATGCATGGTAATTCGACGCGTGGTATATTCGACGCGTGTGATAATTCGACGCGTGGTAATTCGACGCGTGGTAATTCGATGCGTAGGTGATTCGACGCGTGGTAATTCGATGCGCAGGTGATTTGACCCGTGGTAATTCGACGCTTGGTAATTTGACGCGTGATAATTCGATCCATGGTAATTCGACGCGTGAGTATTCGACATGCATGGTAGTTCCACGCGTGGTAATTCGATGCGTGGTAGTTCCAAGCGTAGTAATTCGATGCATGGTAGTTCCACGCGTGGTAATTCGATGCGTGGTAGTTCCAAGCGTGGTAATTCGATGCATGGTAGTTCCACGCGTGGTAATTCGATGCGTGGTAGTTCCAAGCGTGGTAATTCGATGCGTGGTAGTTCCACGCGTGGTAATTCGATGCGTGATAATTCGGTGCATGGTAATTCGATGCGTAGTAGTTTCACGCGTGGTAATTCGATGCGTGGTAGTTCCAAGCGTAGTAATTCGATGCATGGTAGTTCCACGCGTGGTAATTCGATGCGTGGTAGTTCCAAGCGTAGTAATTCGATGCATGGTAGTTCCACGCGTGGTAATTCGATGCGTGGTAGTTCCAAGCGTAGTAATTCGATGCATGGTAGTTCCACGCGTGGTAATTCGATGCGTGGTAGTTCCAAGCGTAGTAATTCGATGCATGGTAGTTCCACGCGTGGTAATTCGATGCGTGGTAGTTCCAAGCGTGGTAATTCGATGCATGGTAGTTCCACGCGTGGTAATTCGATGCGTAATCTAGTTTAGTAATCTAAACTAGATCAGTAACTGTTTAGTAATCTAAACAGTTGAAATCTGAAGATCAGTTTGGGTCTATGCACTACAGCTATAACGATCTAAGGCTATATCAGGACACCTAAAAACCTAAAGGTAGAAAAATCTACAATCCAGAACCCAGGTGTACAAAACTCCAAGAATGCGTGTCTCAGTAAGCCCACGTTTTTATAGTACAGATATCGAACATTATTATTCTCTAATTTGCTGCTTCAAATTATTAACGTAATTTCAGTGGTATCCGACGTTGCGTTAGTCGTTTTTCTCGGATTCAATTACGGCTCATACCGTTTCGCTTCAAAGGCGATGCTGCTACTTTTTCACCGTGATTGGATGGATAATTTTATTACGAGCGATAAAAATCACCGTTTAGCCAGGAAATGTGAGATCTAACGGTCTTATAGCCTAGATAGACGGCATCGAGCCGCGATCGAGAAAGGTTGATCGGTTCGTTTATTCGTGGCTGGTCCGATTCGCAGACTTCGTGAGTTCTACATATTTTGTCTGACATTTGTGGAACGAGACGAAGAAAGCGACGCGAAATCTCGTGAATAAAATAAGCCTGAAGGGTAGCATACGCTTGTGCATAAAATATCTGCTCCCAGTGAAACTATCTGTTTTCTTCGTTTGAATATAATCGCCGTTTCCTGGATTTAGATTGTTGTTCCACGAAAGTTATATTCAAATTAGAGAAACGATTTCGTTTGTCGTTTAATCTTCAATTTAATCAAACCACCCACGACTGTTCGCGTTAATCCAGGTTATTCAATACTAGGTTTATATTGTTCAATAGTAACCTTATTATACCTGTTATTATATTTATTGTGTTAATTTGTTACACCATAATAATTTTTAATAAAACGTATCATATATATTATTGTCCTTAGTGTATCAACATATGGTAAAAACCTATCGAGCCTAATTCTTTTATAAACATTATGAAGATCAGTAATGAGATCAGTATTTAGAAACATCCTTGCAACATGTTTTGTACGATTTGCTGTTTAATTCTACCTGTGCTTGAACTGCAACGTTTTCAAAGAAGTGTCAAAGTGTAAAATATTAGTAGAACCGTGAAACACGAAGAAGGGAATATAAATTGGCAAAAGGTAAGGGGACAAGCGATAGGTGTTCTGGAATAGAACAAAAGCTTTTCCATCCTCAACAACTTCCGAGTTCCTCGTAGTTCGATTAGAAGGCCACAGGCGAAATGGGCCACGGCAAATGCTTTAGCACGTAATTCCGATAATAACCGGCTTCTCGCGTGACCGGCGACAGTAATATCGAGCGTTATGGGGGCTGCGTGCTACCGAGTGTCGTGCTAGCTGCACCATACGCCCGGCATATTCCTTCCTAATCATCAACATTGTAAGCCGGCTACCGGCTGAAATCCTCGCCGATAGGCGAAAAAGAAACGAGAATAACGATTTACGGAGGCGAGTTAGTTACGCCGACCCGTAAATCGGCTTGATAAGTAGTGTGTACCCCAACGCTCGGCTAATATTCCACCGGCAAACGTTGCGATGGCTTTGATGCGGAAGAATAATGGCTCGCTCGCTTGCGTACCGCAGCTCGAAACCTCTCGAATCGATGCTCCTTTCTATGGTCCTCGCTGAATTTCAAACTCAATGTTTTACGCGAACCGGTTCCCATTTTGCGTGGGGTTGTCCTTCTGCATCAGTGCAGGACGCTGCGATCTATTCCTCGAGTCCTTTCCGGTCACCTTGCGGCTCGGACCACTTTTCAAAGATCGCAGCAAGATTTTTGCATTTGTTCTGCCGTATTCACCAGTCGAATCGTTATACAACCGGTGACATAACGGTTGGAGATGCAACGAGAATGGACCATAGTATACCACGTACTGATACGTTGTCGCATAAAGCGTAACACAACGCGGGAGTCCATGCGTGGAAATACAACGCGTGATAATACGCAGAGCGTCGCGATACAACCCGTACTGACACAACGCAAGGATAGACCATGCGTGGAGGTACAACGCGTACTAATGTTCACACGTAGTAATATAACATGTAGCAATGCGGCGCGTGAAGATATAATGTAGCGATACAACACGTAGTGAAACAGCGCGTAGTAACAGTGCGTAATGATGTAACAATGCTACACAACTTTATGACATAACGTGCGGAATTTATCACGCGTACAACTTAAAGTTATACAACACGTGGAGTTATACCACGAGACTACAACGTAGAATTTATAGTACAGCGTTATATAACACATGGAATTTATAACGAGAGGGCAAACAACGGAGGTGGAGTACGGTGTTAAGTGCCGCCGTAAATTTAATATATTGCTTGATTACAATAGAGAATATTTAAAAATAATTCGAGAAGGAAATTAGCTCACCGTTCGGACTAGTAGGTCCACCATGCGGCGTGTACAGATGTCCATGAGGATTGTGGGGGTGCGGAGGTGGGGGTAGCCACGCGAATCCCGCGAGGGAATGCGGAAATCCCGCGGGATTCCATCCGGGTGCACCAGGTGCCCCGGTCAGGTAAGGCGGTCCTTGTGACGGCCTCTGAACTCCAGGATGAATCGGTTGAGGCACTACCGGACTGGACTTCTCCTCCTTCTCCTGGTTATTGTCGAGATCTCTCTCTAGTTCGCAGTCGGAGTCCATCACGTTCAGATCCTCCGACTGGCCCACGCTTCTGATCTCTTGATCCTCGAGATCCAGATGGTCGGCTCTGTCGCCCTCCAGAGAACGGTTCGCCTCGGAGTCGCTTCTATCGTCCATGATCTCTCGTCTGCTGACCGGCGACACGGATCGCGGATTAGCGATCCTGTCCATCCTCTCGTCATCCTCTTGGCCGCGTTCCCTCTGGATCATCGATTCGGCGATCCTGTTAGCCGGCGAGCCGGTGGACAATCGTCGCTCGTCTCGATCCTTCTGAACCTCTTGGTCTATCCTAATTGGAGAGGAGGACTTGTCGTGGCTGGTCGTTCTCGAGAAGTCCTTCACGGTGAGGATCTCTTGCCGGCCCGCCGACGGGTGATCCTGATCCAGTCTACTCGAAGGATGATGATGATGGTGATTGGCGAACGCCAGACCATGCGGACTCAACCTCGCTAACAATTCTCTGCTTTGTAGTCTCTGCTGTTCCATCAACAGCTCGCGATACCTGGCTTCCATGTCCAAGTTTTTCTCCGCCTCCGTTCGGTCGTCGTTCTCGCGCCTGGCGAACGCTCCGCCGGTAACGGCGG